CCCCCCGTTTCCTTATGTTCCTTGACGAGAGCCGGAGGCTTGGTTCCTGTGGGATTCCTAGGTTTAGGGTTTATAGGGTTTAGGGTTTAGGGTTTAGGGTTTAGGGTTTAGGGTTTAGGGTTTAGGGTTTAGGGTAGGACCAGCGCAATTTGTCACAGTGGAGCGGGCTCTCTGCCCCCTCCTGCCACGCATCAGACAGAAAAGAATGCATCTTCCCCCCCCACCCCCCTGTAGTTGCGCCTGGAAGTTCATGGGTACATGTAAGTAGGGTTAGACGTAGGGCAGTTGTACTTGGAACCCAAGTTCGAAGGCCACTTCTAAGTAGCAATGAACCTCCAAGTAAGGCTTTATCCGGGCGGGGCGACAGGCAGCCACTTTCCAAGATCACTTGAAGCCAGCTCACTCCATGACTGCCCACCGCCCAGACAGGACAGAAAGCTCCTGATTGATCCTGTCGGAAGCCCAGGTTGTTCTTAGCAGCTAAGGAACAAGAGGCGTAGATATTTCCTCGAGGTACGCGATTCCTTCGTTCCGTATGAATAACCAACCCAGTTTTGTCGAAGGGCTGGCAGATACTTAGCCTTGGTTTTGGGGTCACGAGCCAGTTTTGTCCTTTTGCTTGTGTCGCGCAGATGGTCGACGGACAGTCGCTTGTCTCAGTATCCGTCTAAGCCTTTGTCTTCTGGCTGAGTTTAGAGCACCCTCTCCAAGGACAACTGGGTTAGCATCCTGAATGCCGAGCCGATCTTTGAGGTCCCCATGCGGCATGGGGTCAACTCATCAGATGCGACTCATTTTCCCTTAACCTCCTAGACCGCTGCGACCCGCAACCCGAAAGCCCCAAACACCCGCTAGGGTGTCGCTGTGCCTGTCATACACTCCTGTCATACCTCTTCCGCAAGTAGGTGCTGGATAGGGTCATGGAGTGCATGTCTTCAATGCCGGCTGGGCAAGTACCCTTAGGCACAAAATGGCACAACATCCTTCTAATTATAGTAGACAGTATGATTTCCCCAACAAAAACAAAACAACAATCGCCAGAACATAGATTAGTAAACAAATGTAACATACATACATATATATATATATACGCACACATATCTATAATATATCTTATCTACATATGTATGTATGTATGTATGTATGTATGTATGTATGTATATATATATATATATATATATATGTCTATGTGTATTTGCCAGAGGCGGTCGACGCCTTCGCCGCCGAGCGTTTGCCGTGGGGCGATGATGGAGCAGCAAAAAGGAGCCTCTTTGGGGGGGAGTTTAGCTGGGGTTTAGTAATTTAGGGTTTAGGGAGGGGGAGGGGGGGGGGAGTAACAAAAAGAAGGAGCCTCTTTGGCGGAAGTTGGGGGGGGGGGGGGGGGTTAATTGAGGTTTAGGTTTAGGGTTCTAAGGGTGTGTGGGGGGGCGGGGAAATGGGAGTGGGGGAATATGAAGTTTAGGGTTCATAAGGGTCTCTGTGTGGGCGGGAGGGAGTTTGACTGAGGTTCAGGGTTTAGGGTTCATCGGGGTCTCTGGAGGTCTGTGGGGGCTAGAGGTCCTCGACGGCTCAGGGTTCACGAAAGATTTAGAGGCTGGCGCTGCAGCACCGAGGGCTCTGGGTGAAGGGCGTTAGGATGTTAGAATGGGACTTCACTTGTCTCAGTGCTTTCAGAGAAGGAACCCCGAAGCCCAAACCCCTAGTACAAAACCCTAAACTCGAAACTCTAAACTCTAAACCCTAAACTCAAACCGGTCTTATTTACAACCCCAAAACCCCACATAAACTCAACAGCTCTAAACCCTAAACCCAGCAGCCCTTCTTACACAACCCTCAATAGCAGCTCCAGGCTGTTGGAAACCCTAAACCCTAAACCCCAAACCCTACACCCTAAACCCTAAACCTCAAACCCTGAACCCTAAACCCTAAACCCTACATCGACCTTGAACGTAAAACAGGGCCACAACTTGAAGGGTCACTTTGGTTCCTTTGGCTTCAGGTGGGTTGGGTTTAGGGTTTAGGGATGTTTAGGGTTTAGGGTTTAGGGTTTAAGGTTATAGGGGTGAAGTCTCCAGCGGATGCCGGCGCGGGTGGGCTCAGCCACACGCACATGCCTCAAGAGGCGTCTACTCTTTTGTTGATGCCAGACTTCCTTATATAGTTTCCAAGCCCCAGAAAAGGGGTGCCCAAAACAGTTAGCGATGGGTAGGGCATGTAGCCTCTCGACCTGACGTCCTAAACTTGACATTTTCAATCAGGTCGCACTTAGTAGAAGCCGATGCATGATACAGTAGGTGCAGATCTCCGAACCTGTCAGTGAAGCTGAAGAAATGCCACAGATTTCTGATAGAGGCCTGAGGGTGCACTCACTCGACTGACCGTGATGCCGCGATGACACTCCGAGCGGTGCAGCAGGCTCTGATCAGAAGCCGGTTTGCGCATCCCCGCGCCCCGGAGACTCTGCTACATGCTGGCGCAGCGGCGCCTGAGAGGGGACTGCTCTGGTCATCGCCACGCAGGCAGGCCTTCGACCACGTCATCAGCGAGGCAGAGGCGGCCCTACTGAGTGGGGCTGCTGGAAGGGCCTTCTCCTCAGGGTTCTTTGACGTGGCGGCTGCAGACTGCTCCTTGGCCCCTTTGGCTTCGAGTGCTGGGGATGAGGGCCTCCTGGGACCTGTCGCCCAAGAGCTGGTCACTCGCCTTGCTGTGAGCGGTTTCTAGGTTTTCTGCATGTCTAAACCTAGTGAAATTTCGAGCAGCATCGTCATGTGAAGAGCAACACGAGCTAAGCCCATGAGAGGCTGGAAGAGAGTTTTTTTTCTTGAGTTCGAGGGTTCAGTCAAGCATCAGTCAAGCATCTATTCAAGAATAGGAGCTGGCCCCTGCTTTGGGGGTTACCCTTCGACACGTGTCGGTGCCACGGCACTTGCGGAAGAGTAGAAGGGCACCTCTGAGCCCTCAGTCACTCGGAGCCGGGCACCTGACGCAGGCGGAGATGCTCGCCTTTGCCAAGCAGGCTCAGGAGGAAGAGGCGAAGCGCCTCGACGCCAGGAACGTGGCGAACAGCGGCCTAAGAAGGCCACAGCTCGAAGGGGTAGCGCAGTCAAGGCCGCGAAGAAGGCCCGTGCACCTGGCCTACCTGTAACAACGTGCGAAGCCGTGAAGCCATTTCGGCTGTGCCATGGCAAGAGAGAGATCCAAGCATCCGCATCTTCCTGATCGGAGCGAAGAAAACGGGCGCCGACAGCAGTGAAAACTTGAGCGGGGCTAGGTTCGATCCTTTTTCGAAGCTGCAAAGCAGTTGCCAAAACCTGAATGTTGTAGCCTTTGACTTACTTCGCCTTTAGTTGAACTTTAAACTTTTTGGGTTTCCTTGTTCAATGGGATTATAAATTTTAGCTTTTTCTCCCATGGTTATTGGAGAAGTAAGTTGATTCTTGGCAGCACTGCTTTGTATGTGGTATGTGCAGACCCTGAGGTTTATGCACTTGCCGAGCGGTTTCTGCAGCGAGCAATCTCCGCAGGCTTCGAAGAAAACCTTTCGGAGGCGTCCTCTGGCGACCTGAAGCTGGCCGACGCCCTGCTGGCCAAGCTGACGCCACCATCCGACCAGGATCTGAGACTTGGTAGGCCAGTAATAGGGATTCGGGGGTTTAGGGTTTAGGGTTTAGGGTTTAGGGTTTCGGGTTTAGGGTTTAGGGTTTAGGGTTTCGGTTCAAGGGTGCCCTTCTTATAATATGGTTGCTGGGCTACCAAGGAGAAGAAACCCCTTAGGGGCAGAGCAGGCATATGGGTACTGGGCACCTCACATCGACAAGGCCAACGTGCCTGAATACGACGACACTTAGGGGTACTTGGACATATTTTTGCTTTTGGTCTCTGTAAACTCTAAGGAACAGCAAACTATTTTTTGGTTACCTTAAACTCTAAGGAACAGCAACAAGTATATTTTTTAAACTAGGGTGCCAAGTTCAGTAGAGGTCAGTGCCATCCTCTACCTCTCCACCTTGGGCGAAGACTTTTCCGGTGGCGCCTTTGCCTTCAATGATGCGGATGCCGACAGGCTGGTGGAGCCCAAGCTGGGAAGACTTCTCCTTTTTGACTCAGGTGGGGTACGCACCCATGTACTGCTTTCTCCTCTTTTTTGGGGGCGGTGTTTCGTTACTATAAGAGTCACACACACACACACATTTGATTCCCTGAGTTGCAGATCTCAGTCTTACGCCGCTCTCCACACCATGGCAGGTCCCGTCAACTTGCACCAGGTCTACCCTGTGATTTCCGGCTCTCGCCTTGCGCTCTCAGTGTGGTACAGCCGCAGCTTTCGGACTCTGCACGATTTCGTCGCAGCAAAAAGGTGCCCTAAACCCTAAACCCTAAACCCATTGAGCTGACCATAGGGGGGGGTTTTGTAGGACTGGATTGGCGAAGGCTCTGCATGAGTTGCATGTAGCGCCCTGCTTCCACGTCCATGGAGCACTTCATGTCAGATCCTGGCGCGATGTTTGTACGATGCTCGTCATCGACGGGCTGGTTCAGGGTTTAGGGTTTACTGTTTAGGGCTTAGGGCTTAGGGCTTAGGGTTTAGGGTATAGGGTTTAGGGTTTAGGTGTGAAGGAGACATCGGTGCCACTCGAAGATGCAGCAGCTGCCTCCCCGAGCCAAACGCTGCAGATCGACCTTAAACCCCAAAACCCTCAACCCTGTTGTACCCTAAACCCCAAACACCCCCCCCCCCCCCCCCCCAACTGCTAAGCCCGAAACCTCACACCCCAAACCCCTAAACCCCAAACCCCTAAACCCTAAACCCCTATGAAGCCTATGAAGCCCTTACCGCTGCCCCAGGTTGCACCATCAACTCCTCACCCCCAAAACCCTAAACCCCAAACCCTAAACCAATTTCCCAAACCCTAAACCCTAAACCCCAAACCCCAAACCCTAAACCCTAAACCCTGAACCACAAACCCTAAACCCTAAACCCCAAACCCCTGCTGCCCCAGGTTGCACCATCAACTGGTTCCGGGAGTGGCCAGCGGAGGCCCTGTCCTCCGTGGCGCAGCAGCAGCTGGCTGTGAATCAGGCCTGCCTGCTGAGTAGAGGGTTTAGGGTTTAGGGTTTAGGGTTTAGGGTTATGGGTTATTAGGGTTTAGGGCCTAGCTACATGGTTTGGGAGTCGGAACTTTCATCACGAAAACATGTTAACCCCTGAACCCTGAACCCAAAACCCTAGTATCTGAGCCCAGGCCCCCGAAGCCCCCTAGGAGCCTCCTCGGCCCCCCTAAGCCCCCACAGGAGCCCTCGACCTAAGAAGCCCTGAGCCCCCAAAAGCGGATGAAACACCAGGGTTTAGGGTTTAGGGTTTCGGGTTAGGGTTTAGGGTTTAGGGTTTAGGGTTCAGGGTTCAGGGTTCAGGGTTCAGGGTTCAGGGTTCAGGGTTCAGGGTTCAGGGTTTAGGGTTTAGGGTTTAGGGTTCAGCCTATTCCTGGCAAGGTGCAGCTGCCAAACTTCGAAGGCTCCGTGCGGCTCTTCCAGGCGCACGAGTGGTTGAGGGTTTAGGGTTTTTAGGGTTTATAGGGTTTATGGGGTTTAGGATTTAGGGTTTAGGGTTTATAGGGTTTACAGGGTTTAGAGGGTTTATAGGGTTTATTGGGTTTATAGGGTTTAGGGTTTATAGGGTTTAGAGGGTTCATAGGGTTCATAGGGTTTATAGGGTTTATAGGGTTTATAGGGTTTAAAGGGTTTATAGGGTTTATAGGGTTTATAGGGTTTGTAGGGTCTATAGGGTTTGTAGAGTTTATAGGGTTTATAGGGTTTATAGGGTTTATAGGGTTTATAGGGTTTATAGGGTTTATAGGGTTTATAGGGTTTATAGGGTTTGGGGCGTAGGGGTTTAGGGACCTCCCTTGCAGTTTATGGTTTTGGGTTTCTTGGTAGGGTTTGGGGTTTGGGGTTTGGGGTTTGGGGTTTGGGGTTTGGGGTTTGGGGTTTGGGGTTTGGGGTTTAGGGACCTCCTTACAGTTTAGGGTTTGTTTTTGTTGAGGTTTTGGACTCTCTAATTCTCTCCGCCCTCTTCTTTCCTCTCCCCTCTCTACTCGCTCTCATGTCGCTCTCTCTCTCTCTCTCTGTGGAGTTCGGGTTTTGGGCTTGTAGTGCTGACGGTTTCGGCTCATCCGAAAAGGCCCCTGAACCCTCAAACTCTGCGTGTCGTGCACAGGTGATGCACATGAGCGTGGAACAGGCCTCGAAGAAGTTCCTCGAGCAGAATAAGCCTTGGCCTTGGCTCAAAACTGGATAGGGTGTTGAGGGGTTTGGGGGAAGTGTTGCGAATAGCATCCCTCTATGTCATTCCTGCATGGTTGTACTATATGAGGTACCCCAAGTATTCGAGTTCAGTAGGCCCCCATATGATGGGGAGGTTCCCAAAGCAGAGGAAGGCTTCGATGCAAGTGCCCATAACGAGGATCAACGAACATGCCCAGAATGCGATTGCTATTGCCATGTGCATGGTCATGAGTAGTCGCATTGCGAATGCCACTGCGACTTGTATTATTTTCCATAAGGACTGCCCTATCTTGCGGCTGGTTCGCAGGGCTCAGATTTTCTAGGTTTAGGGCTACAACTTCTATTGGGTTCCGGGTGCAAGGACCGGGCCAAAGATCTAGGAACACTAGGGTGCTCTGCTCCGGGACTGAGTTTGCAGGTATACTGCTTGCGTTGCGAAGTGTCTACTCGCACGATTTCCCAGCATGCCGAGTCCAACAGCTGCGCTCTTGAAAGCGTCCCCAAGCCGTCATCGCCCTAAGCCCTGAAGCGGTTGAGCTATGAATCGCACGACAGTGATGGTTGAAAGCTGATGGACAAGTAGCGGCACATCCCCCTCTCTACCCCTCTAAACCTTGGGATGTTCTCCCTTATACTCACGGTCCTTAATCGGGATTATAGTACCCGCCCCCCCCCCCCCCCCCTAGTATAATCCCTGTTCAAGACTGTTAGTATCTTGGCGGGGGGGGGGGGGGGGGGGGAACATCCCAATCTACACCTCTAGCATTGCCCAATGTACAGGGATTGCCCTAGATCGCCCGGAAGGCCTCCAAGGTCGCATAGGGTTGAGGGTTTTAGGGTTTAGGTTTTAGGGTTTAGGGTTTTAGGGTTTTTGGGTTTAGGGTTTTAGGGTTTTAGGGTTTTAGGGTTTAGGGTTTAGGGTTTAGGGTTTAGGGTTTAGGGTTTAGGGTTCAAAAACCTTCTGTCAGGCGTCATGTCTACAACACTCCCACGAGCTACCTGGAGCTCCTCTCCAGCTTTGTGTCTGTGCTGGCCATGAAACGGAAGCAGGCGGCGAGAGACTTGGGGTTTAGGGTTTAGGGTTTAGGGTTTAGGGTGTAGGGTGTAGGGTGTAGGGTGTAGGGTGGAGGGATGTTCCGCCCCATACTAGCAGTCCTGAATGGGGATTATTAATGAGGAGGGGTACTTTCACCCCTCTTAAGGACTGTTAGTAGAAGGGGGAACATCCCAGTTCCGGGGGCTGGGACTGGTGTCTTGTGATCTTCCCTATAAGGTTCCGAGCTTCTAGGGGCTAAACCGACACACCGGATCTCATGGCTCTTGGGATAAGGAAGGGTCTAGGGTTTTGGGGTGTCGATGCTGCCGAGATAGGGACCAGGGCTCCGACTCCGATGTGTAGCAGCTTCTGACCACGTACGGCAGGTGGGCACGCAGCAGAAGAGATACAAGGCCTGGCGCTTCTAAAACCCTAAACCCCTAAACCCCTAAAAACCTAAACCCTAAACCCTAAACCCTAACCCTAAACCCTAAACCCTAAACCCTAAACCCTAAACCCTAAACCCTAAACCCTAAACCCTAAACCCTAAACCCTAAACCCTAAACCCTAAACCCTAAACCCTAAACCCTACCTAAACCCTAAACCCTAAACCCTAAACCCTAAACCCTAAACCCTAAACCCTAAACCCTAAACCCTAAACCCTAAACCCTAACCCTAAACCCTAAAACCCTCAACCCCTAAACCCTAAACCCCTAAACCCGAAACCCATGGGTCCTTTGATGTCATCCTCATCCCAGCCGGAAGTCACCGTACCGATCCTGGACTGCCAAGTGCCTGCAGCCTATTAGACAGTGCGAATGAGACTTCGCAAATAAGGGGCAGGGTTTAGGGTTTAGGGTTTAGGGTTTAGGGTTTAGGGTTTAGAGCTTCGGACCAACCGCCAAGATAGCTTTTAATCGGGATTCTAGTGCCCTCTATACTAATCCAAATTAAGGGCTGTATTATAGTGCCCTCTATACTAATCCCTATTAAGGGCTGTATTCTAGTGCCCTCTAAAAGAATCCCTAGTAAGGACTTTTATTTTAAGCGGGGAAACATCCCAGTAAAGACCCCATGACTGTCAGCTCCCTATGCTTCCGTGGCCCTAGAGTTAGGTTCCAAGAACCATGAAGGACTGAATTATGACTAGGACCCGGAGCAGGCCCTATTTCCTCTTTTTTTTGGGTTGGGGTTCCCTTATAATCCCCTTAAAACCAAAAAGGGCACCCTTTTATTCCTAGGTTAAACCCCTGCGTCCAGATTAGGTCCCTGGTCGGGGTAACCAAACCTGCCTGGGCCGATGGGACCACAGAGCGCAGGTATCCCATGCATGCCTCTGAAAGTATGGGCCAAACTCTAAACCCTAAACGCTAAACCCTAAACCGCCCTAAACCCTAAACCCTAAACCCTAAACCCTAAACCCTAAACCCTAAACCCTAAACCCTAAACCCTAAACCCTAAACCCTAAACCCTAAACCCTAAACCCTAAACCCTAAACCCTAAACGCTCGTGGCGTCCTGACAAAGTGACCCTTATAGCGATTCGGGCCCGAAAATGGTCCATGATTCGGGCCAAGATATCCCGAACCTTTGCAGTGGCTTTTCTGGGCTTTGGCTCGTTGGATTTGAGGAAATATTCGACGAGATGGCTTTTTCTGCCCGAAACTTCTGCGAAGGTGCAAGGTTTTAGGGTTCAGGGCTTATGGTTGAAGGTTAACAATTGAGTCCTGAAGTTCCTGGACGTTCGTCGGCAAGCTCCAAACTGCACCAAAACCCTGAAACCCAGAAACCCTGAACCCCTAAACGCCCTAACCCCTAATCCCCGAACCCTAAAACCCTAAACCCCAAACCCTAAACCCCAAACCCTAAACCCCAAACCCTAAACCCCAAACCCTAAACCCCAAACCCCAAACCCCAAACCCTAAACCCCAAACCCTAAACCCTAAACCCTAACCCTAAACCCCTAAGCCCCGAGCCCCGCAAAGCCGTGCAGGTCGGCCTGGAGAAGATTGGGGATGCAGAGGAGCAGGCCAGTGGAGCGGTTTAGGGTTTAGGGTTTAGGGTTTAGGGTTTAGGGTCTAGGGTTTAGGGCTAAGGGTTTAGGGTTTAGGGTTTAGGGTTTAGGGCCTGAGGTTGAGGGCTTGAGGGTTTAGAGTTTTGTGGGGTTCAGGGTTTTGGGGTTTAGACTTTTTGAGTTTAGGAGGGGGGGCGGGGGGGGGCTTAGGGTTTAGGGGGTTAGGGGGTTGAGGGTTTAGGGGTTTAGGGATTAGGGATTTAGGGATTTAGGGGTTTAGGGGTTGAGGGTTTAGGCATGGTTTTATGGAGCTTAGGCCTTCTGGGGCAGGTACGGAGTTTAACGTATGAAGCACAAAAGGCTATAACCCAACAGAAACTGCCACTATAGATGCTTGGGGTTCTCTTGGCCGGACACCTTGGAAACCGGTTTGCGTGTTTAGGTTTTGGGTTCCCAGAACGTATCTCAGGCGGCAGCAGCAGCAGCAGCAGCAGCAGCGGCGGCAGCGGCAGCGGCAGCGGCAGCGGCAGCAGCAGCAGCAGCAGCAGCAGCAGCAGCAGTGCAATTGGATTTTCTGCTTCGGGCTGGGGACGAAAGGGGTAGGAAACGGGCGGACGGGGGGGGGGGGGGGGGGGGGGGGCGCGGGCACGCGTTTTGATGGCTGCTGGGTTGGCAGGGATTGGGAGGCCTTGAACGAGCCGAATCCTGGGTCAGCCTCACATGGCAAGATACCCTAAACCCTAAACCCTAAACCCTAAACCCTAAACCCTAAACCCTAAACCCTAAACCCTAAACCCTAAACCCTAAACCCTAAACCCTAAACCCTAAACCCTAAACCCTACACCCTAAACCCTAAACCCTAAACCCTAAACCCTAAACCCTACACCCTACACCCTAAACCCTAAACCCTAAACCCTAAACCCTAAACCCTAAACCAATCATCTGATTTGGGTCATTGAATAAACAGTACTTGCTAGCAAAAGTCCTGATGAGCCCTAAACCCCCAGGGCCGAGCACGTTGAGTTTGAAGCCCCTGAGTTGAGGGTTAGGGATTCAGGGCTGAGGGCTTGTAGGGTTTAGGGACGAAGGTTCCCCTTAACCAGAACAGGTCAGCGGCTTGCAGCAGATGCTGGTGGAGCAAAGCTGCCACGATTGCGGGTATGGGTGATCTCTGCCGGAAGGTTGCTTAGGGACAGTACACGGGACATCGGAGGCATGTGGGGGGTCGCTCTGAATTCTTGGAGACTGCACTGAATTTTGGTGTATGGCCCTAAACCCGAAACCCGAAACCCTGCAGGGTTTCAGGTTGCTTGTCTGCGGCACCAGGAAGAAGCCTAAGCTGGAGCAGACGCAGAAGATGGTGGAGGAGATGATGAAGGTGGGGTTGTTAGGGTTTTTAGAGTTTTGAGGGTTTTGAGGGGTTTGAGGGTTTTTAGGGTTTTTAGGTGTTTTGGGGAACCTTCGAAGATGGAAGAGCTCATGTCTTTTCACAGTGTAGGCTCCTGATGAATTTTCTAGATTTCCACGCTTCTGCCTAGCCAGGAACACGAGTGACATGTTTTTTTTTTCTCTCTCTCTCTCTCTCTTGTCTCTGTCTTTGTCTTTCTTTCGTTTGTTGTTTTTTTCTTTCTTTCCCGCTGTCTTTCTTTGCGGATACATCTTCGTGTATTTTGCCGTCCTACTACACGTTTGCAGGGGCAATAGCTACTACTCCGTGAAACTCTAAATACCCTAAATTAAACCCTAAACCCTAAACCCCCAGTCCTCTTGCAACTGCGACCAACAGGTGATTGAGGTGGACAAGGCTGCTGCTCAGGAGGTGTCTACCAAGGTCGCGAAGGAAGAAGCGGAGGCATTCGACGAGTGGTTTAGGGTTTAGGGTTTAGGGTTTAGGGTTTAGGGTTTAGGGTTTAGGGTCCAGGAGATTCAATCAGACAGGGCAGCGGAGAGGCCCCCAACACCAAGACGTAAACGCAGGGTTTGGGGGGCTCCTGGGGCTTGGGGACGAAGGATTTCGGTTGAGGCCTTCAAGGCTGAAAGCCCTCTGTATGAAAAAAAAGCAGAGACACTTAGGGTTGAGGGTCGAGGGCTTACAGGACGTTAGGGTTTTAGGGTTTTTTAGGGTTTGTAGGGCTTTTAGGGCTTTTAGGGTTTTTAGGGTTTTTAGGGTTGTTAGGGTTTTTAGGGTTTTAGGGTTGTTAGGGTTCAAAGGGTTCACAGGGTTTATCGGGTTTGTGCCACAGCCAAGGATGACTGTGGTCACCGAAAATGAAACACTCTGTGGGGTGTAGGGCTTAGGGTTTTAGGGTTTAGCCCCCCACCCCCCCCCCCACCTCCCCCCGCCTCCGCCCGCCTGCCCGTGGGAACTCTTTTATGCCTTCATCACAGAAGCTCGATGCCAACCCGGAAGCTGAAAACCCCCAACCCCCCACACCCAAGATCCTATAGGAGGCATCCCAACCCGCCAGAAGTGTCTTGCCGAAACCTAAGCCAAATCCCTAAACCCCCCAGAAAGCCCCTAAAGTTATGCCACACGCCTTCCGGCCGACAGGCCAAGAACAAGGCGCAGGCCACCCAAAATATTAAGGCCGGGCCTGGGGTTTAGGGTTTAGGGTTTAGAGTTTAGGGTTTAGGGTTTAGGGTCTAGAGTTTAGGGTTTAGGGTTTAGGGTTTGCCCACGCGGTTTGGGGGGGTGCTTCGGGATGTAGAGCTGGGCTTCCCAGTGGGTTTAGGGTTTGGGGTTTGGTGTCCCCCAAGGAGTAATGTCCAGACGTATGCATGTTATGCATAGATATGTGTATCCATCCAAGTATCTGCTGTTACTGTGTGACTGGGTTTCATGATTTGTAGGTTTTTTGCTCATTATGTTTGCCGCGGGCTGCGCTGGCCATGTGCTGCAGGCCCCAAGGATCTCGGATGGATACCTTTATGCGCGCACCAGATTCGGGATTATAGGTTGTTTGAGTTCTATGGGCTCTCATACCTAGTTACGCCGAACAAACTCACCTGAATACCAGCAGAACTAGAACCCGCAGAACATGATTTATAGGGCTCCCCTCCAAAAGTAAATCCATCTTTGAACTCTTGCACCCTCGCCTGTATAGGCCCGAAATCGCAACTCCCCCCCCCCCCCCCCCCCCCAACCCGAAACCCTGAACCCTCTTAACACCCCAAACCCTGCGTACCCCCAAACCTAAACCCTAAACCCGAAACCCTAAACCCCCAACACCCAAAATCCCAAACGCAAAAAACCCAAGAAAATCGATATTCAGGACGACGCCCAGAAGGATCTGGACGAAGCCTTACCGGCCCTCGATACCGCCGTGCGGTGCTTAGCGCTGGGTTTAGGGTTTAGGGTTTGGGGGGTTCAGGGTTCAGGGTTTAGGGTTCAGGGTTTTAGCTTCAGGGGTTTGGGTTCGGGGATTGGGAATTAGCCTTGGGGTCGTACGGCCTTAGGGTTAGAGGGCCTTAGGGTTGGGGGGTCATAGGTAGGGTTGGGTTGTTTGGTCCCAACAGTAAATTGTTGTGGCAGGGTTTTCAATTCCTGGATGGGCCTTCGGGGTTTTCGATCTGTTCCTCTCCTTGCGTCCCTTTGCCTCCCTTCATGTTGGAAAGTTCTGCTTTACAACGTTTTGGTAGGGGGGGGACATCCCAATCCGGAGTTCGGCAGGCTGCCAGGTGCTGGCCTATGATGCCCCAAACAGAGCGGGGGACACTGGCAAAACCAGCCTGGAGCTTCCCCAAGCCCCTAAACCCTCAGCCCCAAGCCCTAAACCCTAAAGTCTAACCTCTAAACCCATAAGCCCTAAACCCTAAAGCCCAAAACCTTAAGCTCTATAAGTCCTCCATCCGACGCCCTTCGTCCTCTAAACCAGCTATTTATTCATATATATATATATATATAGATATACATGTATATACATATATATATATTATTTGTTTATAGTGTGTATATATATATAGTATATATATATTGGGTTCGGCCGGTCCACACTAACAGTCAAATAACGCCGTGGCCTTATAACACACAGGCCAAAAATAGCACCAGGAATCCCAGTCAATTTTAGCATTTACCGGGTGCTTATTTTTGTGGGTCTGCTGGTGGTGACTGTTAGTCACATAGCAGCAGAAATAGCACCAGAAATAGCACAAACAATAGCACAAAAAATAGCACCAGAAATAGCGCCAGGAATAGCACAAAAAATAGCACCAGAAATAGCACAAACAATAGCACCAGAAATAGCACCAGGAATCCCAGTCAATTTTATCAGCTTAGCATTTACCGGGTGCTGTTTTTTGTGGGTCTGCTGATGGTGATTGTTAGTCACATAGCACCAGCAACAGCACCAGAAATAGCACCAGAAATATCACAAACAATAGCACAAAAAATAGCACCAGAAATAGCACAAACAATAGCACAAAAAATAGCACCAGAAATAGCACCAGGAATAGCACAAAAAAATGCGCCAGAAATAGCACCAGAAATAGCACCAGGAATAGCACCAGGAATAGCAGGAATCTCAGTCAATTTTTTGGCATTTACCGGGTGCTTTTATTTGTGGGTCTGCTGGTGGTGACTGTTAGTGTGGACCGGCCGAACCCAATATATATACATATATCGTGCTCCCTTAGGTGGCATGTCTGAAGAAGTTGAAGGCCGACCACATCCGCGAGGTGTGAAGGGAGGGAGGGTTTAGGGGTTTAGGGGTTTAGGGGTTTAGGGTTTAGGGTTTAGGGTTTAGGGTTTAGGGTTTAGGGTTTAGGGGTTTAGGGTTTAGGGTTTAGGGTTTAGTGTTTCGGGTTTAGGGTTAGGGTTTCGGTTTTAGGGGTTGATGGGCTCTTGAAACTGATCAGGCTTGTTGCGGGTTTTACATAGGTTTCGGGCTTTTGGGGGTTAGGGCGTTTAGGGGTTTGGGTGTATGGGGCTTGGGCTTATAGGCTTTACAGGTTTACAGCGTAAAGGGTTTATACCCTAAACCCTAAACCCTAAACCCTAAACCCTACACCCTAAACCCTAAACTCTAAACCCTAAACCCAAACCCCAGGGCGTAGGGTTTGTTCAAGACTCAAGGTGTCATTCCGAGGAGAGGCAGAGTATGCGCAGGGAATTGAAGAACTAGATACCTTGTATCTCCTCTAAGGGACCATGTTGTGGTCCCAAAATTCCCGTTTCAGAGATGTGTATGTATGTACATCGGGCCTGAGCTTGGTCTCTTGAGGTTTGGGGTGTCAGGCCTGCCCAGGCTTGTATCCCTCAACCCGTCACGTCTGCCTAGGAGACGCCCAGCCTAGGGGGGGGCCTTCGGAATTCAAGGGATGAGGGGGGGGGGGGGGGCTTGAATTTAGGGTTTCATCAGGGTTGCCTTAGACCGAGCCTCAGGATATTGGGGGGTTTAGGGGTTTAGGGTTTAGGGTTTAGGGTTTAGGGTTTTGATGCTAGGCTTGATGGGATGGAGGTGGGTTAGGGGGGTCTAGGAGTTTAGGCTTCAGGGGCCTCGGACTTCCGACACCACGTGTCCCAACATCAGCTACAACCCTAAACCGTCTCATGCCTCCCCTCCGCCCCAAAAAAAATATGCATAAATAGAACATAAATAAATAAATATATATTTTTTCTACCAAAAGAAAACAACATCATCGGGACTGCAGGTGAAGGTGCTTCCGAACCCGCCGGCGGGGGTAAGGCTTGCCACGGAGGCGGTGTGCGTGATGCCCGCGACCTGAGGGGGTTTTGGCTCTGGGCACAGAAGCTTGCAATAGGGAGTTTTAGGCTAGGGGCTTAAGGGGCTTAAGATGGTTTAAGGGTTTCGGGTGTAGGGCAATAGGGTTTAGGGTGTTAACTGTTAACAGTTGACGTAGCCTAGCGGCCTAGCATCGGTTGCAATCAGGTCTTCGCGCCTGTTACGGGGAGTCTGTTAATGGTTGAGTTGGTTGGGGCTTCCCTCCCGATGAAAGACATTTTGTGAGAGGGGCCCTTCCTTGTACCCTAAACCCCAAACTTTTGAACCCTCAACCCTAAACCCCAAACCCTAAACCCAACAGGGCTTTACAGCCAGGCCCAGCAGGATCCCATGCACAGCCCCGATATCCCAAAACCCCAGATCTTGCCTGTGTTGGGGAGGAGGGGTTAGGGTTTAGGATTTAGGAAATAGAAGAAATAAACATGTAGGATTCGTTATGTTATTTACTCCTAACTCCTATCTTCATGCTTTGCTACTTTTATGAGACGTGTTTCACTGTCTTTCTGTTTATAAATGAGACGTCCAGTACCTTTCATGGTCTTTATCCGCGCTGTTGGCTTTTGTCGCTTTTTCTTTTTTGGATAGGTGGTCAATTTCCTGTAGACAACTTTCTGTCTTGTGGTCGTATCTTGCTGCATGCCGCCTGAGACCTAACTTTTGAGCCGAATAGCTAAACCCATGGAAACAGTAACTTTAGTAAAGGCCGTCATCTGGTTTCGCTTGGTAGTTGATCTAAATTTTGGGCTCTCTTGGTGCCCAGAGCTATACAGAACATGCCATGAGGCAGACCCTAAACCCTAAACCCTAAACCCTAAACCCTAAACCCTAAACCCTAAACCCCAGCAGGGTCCATGATTTCGATCAGCCTTGCGGTTGAGGTTTCAACTCAAGCCTGCGGGGGGCCCTGGCCTACGACACCTGATACTTCTGACCCGAAACCCTAAACCCTAAACCCTAAATCCCCTAAGCCCTAAACCCTAAATCCCCAAGCCCGTAAACCCCCCAAACCCTAAACCTGAACCCTGAATCCTGAATCCTGAGCCCAAACCCCCCAAGCCCTAAACCCGAAGTCCCCCTCAACCCTAGCCCTGCCTTGTGGTGCTGGGAGGAGGAGAGGGAAGCGGGTTTTGCGCAACCCTAAACCCTAAACCCTAAACCCTAAACCCTAAACCCTAAACCCTAAACCCTAAACCCTAAACCCTAAACCCTAAACCCTAAACCCTAAACCCTAAGCAGACAGAAGCCTTGTGAATTTAAGCTTCTATGCAGGAGCTGCAGCACTTCAAACGACAGCAACTCGAGCATCTGCACGAGTTGGACAACAACATTCCCAATCTGCACACACCAACTAGAATCATCACTTTACCCATTTTTTTGCCTGGGTCAAACCCTAGTGAACCCTAGCCCTAAACCCTAAACCCTAAAACCCTAAACCCTATAACCCTAATCCTTAAGCCCTAAACCCTACACCCTAAAACCCTAAACCTTACTGCCAGGCCTGCCCCAAGTAACTCAAAGAATACACGCTTTCTTCTGAAGATTAAGTAGCCAGTGCAGCTCGAGGTGAAGAAGAATGATCCGAACACTCCGGGCAAGAAGATCGACGACTACTGGGAGACGAGCCAGAAGGAGACCTTCATGTTTAGGGTTTAGGGTTTAGGGTTTAGGGTTTCGGCTTTAGGATTGAGGGTTTAGGGGTTTGAGATTGAGGGTTTCGGACTGAGGGTTTGGGTGTTTGAGATTTAGCTTTTTTTGTTTACGTCAAAAAAACCCTAAAAAGGGTTTGTAACGTTAAAAAACCCTATTTAGGACCTATAGGATTTCGGACGTGTCAACGGAGTCTACCTGCACCGAAAGCGATGGCCCCACTCTGTCTTGACTAACTGGCTCGACACCCAGAGAGCCCGACACCCTTTGACTACGGAATGTGCTTATATCGAAGTCTTACAACCCTCAACCCCAAACCCCAAACCCTAAACCCTAAACCCTAAACCCTAAACGGACTATGAGGCTTAGCCCTTGCTGAGCCATGCAGGAGATTCTGAACGATCCCAAGGCACTTCTGGACCGGCTTTTCAACTTCGACAAGGACGTGACATTGGTTGAGCCCTAAACCCTAAACCCTAAACCCTAAACCCTAAACCCGAAGGTGCACATGAAGACCGAAGACCAGCTAGTATGGTACTCGGGGCCCCCTGCAGATGCTTTCGATTTTGAAGAGGCCGCCATCGACTAGGCAGACGCATGACGCACAGGTGATGTTTGGAGAAAACGTCCAACAGGGTGTTTTGTTGTACGAACATTGGAGCTCCTGACAAGGACAACATTCCGGATCGTGTCATTCAGGCCAGGCGGCTGTGCTCGTTCGTGATGCGCGCGTGGGTGGGTGTTCAACAGCATTGGCACCCCAACGAGCCGAGTTCCAGTTTTGTTCAGAGACTTATTCATGACCCTCGCAAGTGTTGAGGATCAGCTGTCGGGGGAGCGAGGTTCTGGCAGTATAGGATGTGAGCCAGGTCTCTCTGGCTCTAATCTTCATCATCTGCCATGCCATTCCAGCATAAGGGCCTGCTCCCCTTGCAGGCGATTACACCCTACATGGAAAGAGAGGACTTCGACCCTGTGGCAATCAAGAAGGCAAGGCTTTCGTGCTGGTGACTGCGCACGCGCTTGCTGTATCAAGCGCTCACATGTAGGAGATGCCTACACGCTGTTGTGACCACATGGCGACCTCATGACTTTCGCCAAAACCTCCAAAACCTCCAAAATCCCCAAAGCCACAAAAGCCTGAACCCCGCTGAAGCCCGAAGACTCCTGGAAACAAAGAAGCCTCCTCGTTTCAAGCAGCGCCCGTCGAGGACCTGTAGACACCCTGGTACCCTAAGCCCTAAACCCTAACACCCGAACAACCTAACACCCTAACACCCTACACTCTAAACCTAAACCCTAAACCCTAAACCCTCAACCCTCAACCCTCAACCCTCAACCCTCAACCCTCAACCCTCAACCCTAAACCCTAAACCCCGACCCAGGCCTCCATCGCCTGCGAAGCGATTTGCCTCTGGGTGGGCGCCATGTACAAGTACCACTTCGTGGCGAAGGAGGGGGGCGGGGGTAGGGGTTTGGGGTTTGGGGTTTGGGGTTTGGGGTTTGGGGTTTAGGGTGCTCAAGGTTTAGGGGTCATAGTTCTCAGAGAACGAAGGCCAAGGATAACACCCGCCAAGCAAACTTTTCAAGCCATGTAGCAATATGTATACACATACAAATACATACGTACATGTTTATATTTATAATTACATCTTGATATATATATATATATATATATATGTTTATATGTCTATGTTAAAGTTAGATTTCTGTATTTGCATGTACACAAATATTGTATATATCTATATATACACACGAAACTATAGATAAATTCACCAGTATACATATGTGTATACATATATATTTGTTTACATACGTATGCGCTAGGACTCCGAAGCCCTAAAGACCATAAGCTTCTGAAGCCTGAACACCAAAAAGCCTCTAAACCCTAACCCTTAACCCTTAACCCTGACCCCTAAACCCGGACCCCTAAACCCTAAACCCTAAGCGCTGAACCCTAAACCCTAAACCCCAAACCCTAAACCCTTAACCCTTAACCCTTAACCCTAAACCCTAAACCCTAAACTCTGGGAGGCTGTGGAGCCCAAGCGACAGCTCCTGCGAGAGGCCTTTTGGCTCTTTAGGGTATGGGTGTTTGGTAGTGGTTGGGGTGTTTAGGGTTATTTAGGGTAATTTAGGGTAGTTTAGTAGTGTTTTGGGGGTTAGTTAGTATATTGTTGAGGGTTGGCCCACGCATGCGTCGAGGGATCCTGTTTGAAGAGAGTGGCCTAGTCACTTCTGAGATATTCTGGTGTGTGTGTGACAGGTGACTCTTAATCATGGCATTGCCGTACACACCTCAATCAATCTCCCCGGAGCAGCCAGAAGCCTTGAGTTCTAGGATGCCCAATGGCGACCTTGTTTCCCTTTTTTGGCGGCTATCTACGACGTGCACCCGCGATTATTCTTAGGTTACCGGGCAAGATTCGATTTCTAAACCCTAGACCCTAGACCCTAAACCCTAAACCCTAAACCCTAAACCCTAAACCCTACGTGCCTCTGAAGCCCTTCCGCCGATGGGATAGGCCGAAGCCGACCTTGCAGACTGCATGGCCAAGCTGGAGGCGGGGTTAGGGTTTGGGGTTTGGGGTTTGGGGTTTGGGGTTTGGGGTTTGGGGTTTGGGGTTTGGGGTTTGGGGAGCACCAGTCGAAACACCCCTCCCCCAACAAATTCCGGAATCTCTGAAGCCCTTCATTCGGCGAAGCCCTACCCCTAAACCCCCAAACCTCTGAGCCCCTAGGTGCTAAACTCCAAACAAAACCCAAACCCTAAACCACAAAAGTCCTCTGAGCCCCCCGAGGCCCCTAAACTCCGAAACAAAAGCCCCTAAGCCGCCGGGAGTCAAGCTGAGGCCGCCCAGGCTGCCCTCAAGGAGGTTCACGACAAGATCCGGAAGCTGGAGACTGTGGCTTGGGCCGATGTCGAATATCTAATATTTTTTTCCAAAAACAAGTGTGTGTGTATATATATATATGCATTATCAGATAGTGATTCTCTATAATATCACTTAGTATATAGTATAAAATATGCTGTATGTAACACACAGTATACGGAGGGGGGGAGGGGTTGAGGATTGTGCATTTCGCGTTGAGGGTTTGTGGTTCGGTGTTTGGGTTTTGGCTAAAGTTATAGGGCTTAGTCGTGCTACTCCCTTAGCTCATCAGCAGGAAGCAGCACTTTACACCGAACAGGTTGAGGGTTTAAGGCTTATCGTTTGGGGTTTAGGGTTTATATAGGGTCTAGGGTCCAACATGGCTGCCAGTATACCAGCCGCTCAGATGCCTGAAGCAGAGCTGAGGATTACAACCAAGGCGTGGTGAGAGCCTTAGCTGGGGGGCAAACCGCACAGTGCGAGCCGTGTTACATGGCAAGATGCACCCCTGATGTTTGCAAGACCTTCGGAACTTCCACTTTGCTGCATATTCCATTCCACGTGCAGCCCGAAACCCTGCCCTAAACCCTAAACCGTAAACCCTAAACCCTAAACCCCAAACCCTAAACCCTAAACCCTAAACCAGGCCCAGCAGGAAGGCTTGCAGCAAGACATGGCCCTCTGCGAGATCAAGCTGGAGCGCGCGCCCGCTCCTCAATATGACCAGGGTTTAGGGTTTAGGGTTTAGGGTTTAGATTTAGGGTTTAGGGTTTGTGCACACTCTCTCTCTCTCTCTTTCTTTGCTCTCTCCTTCGGGGTGTAGGAGCTTGAAGCTTGTTATTGTTTCGTCTAGTCCGAAGCTCGCAGGCCAGGAACGGCCCGCCCTAACACTCCTAAATCCTTAACCCTTCCCTCACGCTAAGAGACAGCTGCCACAAGGCACAAGCTCATCGGCGGATTGGGAGGCGAGAAGGCCCATAGCCCAGCTGCACCACGCAGTTACATGGTCCCTTCACATGGGCCCTTGAAAAGGGGACCCCTTATATACCCTACACAACCCACGGGCCCATACTTCAGAACCCTTCAAAATAGGTAAGGGACCACATTCAGGGACCATATAACTACCCTGAGAAGGGCGGCGAGTTTCAATTAGCAAGTAGAATTGGGTTTAGGGTTTTGGGGTTTCGGGTTGGAGTTTTACGGTTCAGGGTTGGGCGCAGAGCTCAGATGAACCGTACGCTCGCGACCGACAACCCTGAACCTCAAAACCTAAGCCCGAAGACGAAACCCGAATTGCCACCTCAATGCCTCTACATGGGGTTGAAGAAAATAAGCCCTTATTATAGACCCCCAAATAGTAGGATTCCTGTATCATGAGGACCCCAATAAGGTACCCCTAATTTCGGAAGCCCCCAAATCCTGAAGCCCAAAATCTTCGAGGAAAGCTTAGCCAAGCTTGGCGTCCTAAGTCCTCAGCCTCTCTCGACAGAACCGAGACACAGGGTTTAGGGTTGAGGGTTGAGGGTTTAGGCTTCGTGTTCGCAACAGAACACCTAAAGCCCGAAAGCCACAGTAAAAGCTCGATGTTCAGCTCTGAATCCCTGAGCCTTCGACTCCCGTCAACCCGACACTCCTCAACATTGTATAATTGTAGGTTCTTGTATGAATGCATAAATGTATTAATGTATTCGTATATGAATACCTAACATATTAATGAATTCATATATGAATACATTCATATATTAAGATACACATGCTTTTTCCTAACTCACCCCCAAAAACAATAATGAACATAAACGAAAACAAGCAACACGAAGAGAGCTTCGCGGCTCGCAGATGAAAAAGACTGAAGGCCTTAATATTAGCACGAAAGAAAAAGAATATATATATATATATATTCAATGTATTGATTTTTTCCCCTATCTACCCCCCCCCCCCCGACCAAAAAACCGCTGCTTGCAGCTGAAAACACTGAAGGCCCGCTGGGGCGACAACGTGGTGAAGCTGACGGAGCAGCTCGAGCTCCTGCCAACCTGACCCGTGGGGTTCGGGTAGGTCTCGTTGTTTTTTGTTTGGGTTAGGGTTTAGGGTCCAGGGTTTCGGGTTTAGGATTGAGGGTTCAGGGTGTAGGGTTTAGGGTTCAGGGTTCAGGGCTTAAGGTTTAGGGGTGTATCGTGTATAGCGGTTTGGGAGCTTTACGGTTCTTATGGTTTAGGGCTTGGAACTTGTAAAGGTTGAGGCTTTATGGGATTAAAGCTTGTGAAACTTATGAGGCTTATGGGTTTTAGGATAAATTTCGAATCCCCCAACTCTGCAGTAGTACTGAAGCACGCAGTCTCCAAGGACTTGGGGTTGTTCAGGGCTTAGGGTTTAGAAAGGGTTTAAGGGCTTAGGGTTTGGGGTTACAACCCAATGTAGAAGCACTTGGAAGTAGCCAGGCCCGGCGATTGCATCATTGCCGCTGGCATGGTCTCCTACGCGGGTCCCTTCACGTCTTGGCCTCTGGTAACATGGCAACGCTAGGAGCAGCACGGGGAGGAGCAAGATGCACAACCCTAAACCCTAAGCCCTAAACCCTTAACCCTTAAACCCCAAGACACTTGTGTCAAGGCTACAATTCGCAAATTGACGAAACCATATGTGAAGTGTGTGTCGGGCGCCTTCGGTCCGCAGACACACTTGGTACTTGGTGTTCGAGGCTCACACACGCACACACAGAGGCCCACTTTGAAACTGTGGAAGAAGGTCCCTAAACCCTAAACCATTCCTAGCCCACGTACCCCTGAATAAGGGCCTCGGTGTTCCTGAGCTTACGTAGGGTATCTTAAGGGGTACTTGGGGGGGGTCAAGGTTATGTCCTTATGTTCAGAATGTTTTGGCAGTGCGATGCCCCAGTCCCTATAAACTTGAAACCCAAGTTCTGATCAAGCATTGCCCAGAGTGCTGCTTAGACTTTACAATGTTTTTAAGGGGGAGGGGGGGGGGTACTTGGTTTCCTTGTTACTTAATGAAGCTTCCCTCCAAAAAAAGGCAAGTAGGGTACACGCCTATAAGAAACTAGTTAGTTGATGTCAGTGTTGGTGCGCGAGCTTGTGTTTGTTTCTAACCCCTAACCCCTAAACCCTAAACCCTAAACCCTAAACCCTAAACCCTAAACCCTAAACCCTAAACCCTAAACCCTTCCGAGCATTGGCTCCAAGGTCTGAGTACCGCAGCTCCTTCGAGCAGGAGTGGCTCAAGGAGCTGGACAGGGCCGGCATCACCCACAACGAGGAGGGGTCTGCAGGGTTTGCAGGGTTTGCAGGGTTTCCGGGGGATGCAGGGTTTCCGGGGGATGCAGGGTTTGCAGGGTTTAGGGTTTGGGCTTAAAGTCCCGCAGGACGTTACAGGGTTCATCTGGGGATTTTTTCAAATTAAGTTCCCTTTGGTGGCCGCTGATTACCATACGGAGTCACCCTGATATTTACGGTATTGCATCCGGGACCAGCATCCAGTTCTCTACAAAACCCTCAACCCGAAGCCCTAAACCCTAAACCCTAAACCCCAAACCCCAAACCCCAAACCCTAAACCCTCAGACCAGCATGTAGAGAACTGGCCACTTGGGGTTGTCTCCTGTCGTCTCCTCCAGGAGTGCAACATGCGCAGCGTCTTGGGAGAGCCAGTGAAGATCCAGCAGTTCGAAGCTCAATAGCCCACGGCAAGGGGGGGGGCGTGGGGGGGGTGGGGGGAGGTGGTAGGGGTTTTGCGCGGGCTTATCCCTAAACCCTAAGCCCTAAACCCCTAATTAAATCCCTCAGGCTTGCAGCACTGGCCAGCACTGTGGGATTGTGCCCCGTGCCCTTCTGGTGCGCATCTGCAACAGTCTACAACCACCAGGACCATGCAGACTGCCCTGAAGGGATGCTCCATATTCTTGTTGCTGTGACTACTATTTTTATGATCGTTCATATTCTTGTTGCTGCTATTGCTAGTATTATAGCCCTTCTGATGATTCTTGTTGCATTTATACTATTACTGTCATCCTTCGCATTATCATAATGGCTGTGATTGCTCTTGCCGAAGGGTCCATGTAGCTACTTAGTATATACTTGGGCTGAGAGGGGCTCCTATGTAGCAGCTTTAGGGCCCAAGTATATACCATGTAGGTACTTGGACCCTTAGGGATTGCTATTACGGTTTGGGTTCAAGGTACTCCTCTAAACCCTAAACCCTAAACCCCAAACCCAACCCTAAACCCTAGACCCTAAACCCTAAACCCTCATATCAGCCTCAGGTGGGTGGTGTACTCCCTCCCCAACGATGCGCTGTCCATTGAGCTTGCGGCCCAGCCAGGGGGTGCGGGGGTGCGGGGGTGCGGGGGGGGGGGGGGGGGGGGGGGGCCCGGCTCTGCACACCACAACGGCTGTGAAAACACCATTTAAATATAAATGTGAATAAATAATCAGTTATATATATATATACATACATGGTCATATACACATATATATATATATACACATGGTCTATATATATATATATATTCCCTACCCAGATTCTGAGCAACTCTGACGTTCTCAACTGCTTCGACCAGATGTACCTGAAGCCCGTAAACCCTAGATATCCCCCCCCCCCCCCCCCCGCCAACGCAATTCTCTCTGGTTTTGTTGGCTTTTCCGGTGGCTGTAGAGGTGAGGGGAGGGTCTTGGTTCCACCTAAACCAGGGGCAAAACCGCTTTCAAGCGCAGAAGGAAGAGCGATGCATCGAAGCATTACCCGCCTGTGGGCAGACAGGATTCATGCTTTAAAGGAAATAGAGGGGGTAGGGTTCATAAACAGAGCTCAGAGGGTTTGGGGTTCAGGGTTTAGGGTTTAGGGTTTAGGGTTTAGGGTTTAGGGTTTAGGGTTTAGGGTTTAGGGTTTAGGGCCGGGGTTTAGGCTGTCGGGGCCTTCAGGGTGACTAGGCCATGCTTGCCTGGCAAGGAACGCCATCATCATCGACCGCTCGCGCCGGTGGCCTCTCATGATCGACCCGCAACGGCAGGCCTGCAACTCCTGCCGAAATGCCGAATCTGTAAGAATCAAGAAGCATATACATATATATATATATATATTTATTTATTTATTTATTTTTTTATATTTATTATTATTTATTTATTTATGTATTGTATATGTGTATATATATATGTATGTATATATAGACTATTTTGTATGTATACCTTTTTTGGACGATCTAGAAATATACACAGCACACCGAATCCTGAGAACCCCAACATTCCCCAAGCCTTCAAGCCCTCAAGCCCTAAGGTAGCCTACTACCCTTCATGTTGCAATTGTCCAGGGAGTGGAAGACGAGATCTGCTAAATGATCCGGCTTAGCACCGGCAAAGAAACCCAGGACACCGTCGAGTTCAGGATCTTGGGCTTAGAGTCTTTCTGTCGCCCTAACCCTAAACCCCAAGCCCTAAACCCTAAACCCTAAACCCTAAACCCTGAAGCGCAACAAGACTTGCGAGCTCCTGACATGGCTAGGCGAACAAGTACATCAAGAACATGGGCAAGGACATCGAGACGGGCTTTGATGTGAAGACCTCGGGGCTTCTTGCTGTTATAGGGCTTAGGGTTCAGGGTTAAGGGTTTAGTTTAGGGTCTAGGGTCTAGGGTCTAGGGTCTAGGGTCTAGGGTCTAGGGTCTAGGGTTTAGGGTCTAGGGTTTAGGGTTTAGGGTTTAGGGTTTAGGGTTTAGGGTTTAGGGTTTAGGGTTTAGGGTTTAGGGTTTAGGGTTTAGGTTTCGGGTTTAGGGTGGGTCTTCAGAGCTTGTTGCTGTTAAAGGTTTTGTGGTTTCGTCAAGGGGTTAACGGAGGAACCCTGAGAAGGGAGCTTCGGGTATCTTTGTGGGTTTTTCCAGGGCTACTTAGGTATTCAGGGACTATATAAGGTACATATAAGGGTTATATAGGGGGTTATATAAGGGGGGATGAGACGAAGGGTCCCTTCTAGGGGGTCCCTCCTTATGCCCCCCAAACTTTGGGGCTTGTGGGTTTTCGGGTAGGTTGTTTGGGAGCTTTAGGGTTCCGGAGGGCTTTGGGGCTCAAACAATGCCCCCTAAACCCTAATCTACAAACCCGAACCCTGAGCCCTACCCGATAAGCCCTAGAACTTGGCATGTTCCCCCTTATACCAACAGTGCTTAAGAGGGATAGTACTAGTAGGGGGTACCATGATCTCTATTGAAGACCGCCAGTATAAGGGGGGACATCCCAACCTATACCCTGTTGGCCATATAAGCCGATTAAGCCCAAAGAAACCCTAAACCCTACCTACTTTTGGAGCTCCCTAAGGTCTGTAAGATGTCTGAGACCAACTTCCTTCGTACCCTGGAGCTGGGCATCCAGTTCGGAAAGTGGATTCTGCCCGGGCCTTAACTTAGGGATACTTGGGAATATTTGTTGTTTTTTTTGGGATCTTCAATTCCTAAGAAGCAGAAGAACGGAAGTTTTTCTAGAGTTCCAAGTTCCGTTTTTTGTTAAGCCGATGAAAGCATGTTGCAAGTGTAGGAGATTTAGGGTTTTGGGGTTTGGGGGTTCAGGGTTTAGGGGGTCATGGTTGAGGTTTATACGGTTTAGCGTTTAGCGTTTAGCGTTTAGCGTTTAGGGTTTAGGGTTTAGGGTTTAGGGTTTAGGGTTTAGGGTTTAGGGTTTAGGAAGGAATGAAGGAAGGCAAAGCATGTTATAAGTGCATGTGAGAGAGAGGAACACCTCCTGGAATTTCCTCTTCGCTGTGTAGAAGAAGAAGAGAACAGCAAAACAACATTAGGCGTGCGAAGGCGCAGGGGCCAAAGGAAACAAAAGCAAACCAGGACAGAGAGCGAGGGATTATTAGATTGCTGTATGTCTGTGTTTTGTTTTTCATGAATATCAACATACTTTTGTTTCTAGTACATTAGTATATGCATATGTGACTATATTCTAGTATTAAAGAGAATTCTAATACCATATCAGTAGAATCTACTTATTGTAAGCCATGGAGAGTGACACTGGGTAGGCGCTCTGCACAGTGTTCTGTGCAGCCCGTGATGTTGCGCAGGATGTTCGGTCCCTGCACCCTCAGATAAGAGGAGCAAATGAAGGAAAGATGGACGGAACCCTAAACCCTAAACCCGAAACCCTAAACCCTAAGCCCTGATGGCGGAAAGATGGCCGGGAACCCTAAACCCTAAACCCTGATGGCGGAAAGATGGCCGGGAACCCTAAACCCTAAACCCCAAACCCCAAACCCCAAACCCTAAACCCTAAACCCTAAACCCTAAACCCTAAACCCTAAACCCTAAACCCTAAACCCTAAACCCTAAACCCTAAACCCTAAACCCTAAACCCTAGCCAGCCCCACACCGAGCCTCCCGGCAGGCTGGAGAACATCGGCCTCAGCCTGGATCCTGCACTGGAGCCTATCTTGCAGCAGCAGAAGGCCTACTGCGATGGTAGGGCTAGGGCTAGGGCTTTGGGGTTTTGGGGTTTTGGGGTTTTGGGGTTTTTGGGGTTTAGGGTTTAGGGTTTAGGGTTTAGGGTTGAGGGTTTAGGGTTTAGGGTTTAGTGGTAGCCAGTGGCTCTGGATCCCCCATCGAAGTTGCCAGGCACTAATGTATGACGGAGGGGACTTGCATTTTTCAACATAGGCGTCAAAACGGGCTTGTATAAGTTTAGGGCCTAGGGTCAGGATTTGACAAGCATCCAGCGACCAATCCTTTGAGGGTTCAGGGTTCGGCGTCCCATAATTATGACAACTCACAGCCCGAATGCCGCAGCCCCTAGGGCCCTAGATGCCCTAGATGTAAACTACTATATCACTATAGGTTTTGGACACATTTGTTTAACAAGGTTTGCTCTTATTGTAGTATTTGCCCATCGCCCTAAAACTTGCGAGCACAAGAGGTTTGAGAGCGGACGCCGCCGACTAGCAGCGGTTTGTAGCCGAAAAAGTGACAACAGACGAGCAGGGAGCTCCTCCGAACTCCAGTCCCTTCTGGCAGTCCCATTATACCACAGGGCCTTTGTATTGAAATACTATTTTTTGGTCGGAATGGGAATACGACTAGTATTCTCTTATGGTGCCTTCATAATTCCACTATAATAACCCCCCCTCCAAAAAATTATATATATATATATATGGTCACCCCCCCCCCCTCGACAGACCCCGGAATTGTATTTCCGATCTGTCCAGGAAGCGGGGGGGGGGGGGGGGGGGAAGAGCACCACTCCAAAATTCCTCGAGTTTTCAAAAATCCAAAAATCCAAAAAAACCCAACCCAAGTTTCGGATTTTAGGAAACTCGAGGAATTTGCTCAAAATCCAAAAAAACCCAAAATTCCTCGAGTTTCCAAAATCCAAAAATCCAAAAACCCCAACCCAAGTTTCGGATTTTAGGAAACTCGAGGAATTTGCTCAAAATCCAAAAAAACCCAAAATTCCTCGAGTTTCCAAAATTCCAAAAATCCAAAAATCCCAAGCCCAGTTTCGGATTTTTGGAAACTCGAGGAATTTGCTCAAAATCCAAAAATACCCAAAATTCCTCGAGTTTCCAAAAATCCAAAAATCCAAAAATCCCAACCCCAGTTTCGGATTTTTGGAAACTCGAGGAATTTGCTCAAAATCCAAAAAAACCCAAAATTCCTCGAGTTTCCAAAATCCAAAAATCCAAAAATCCCAACCCCAGTTTCGGATTTTTGGAAACTCGAGGAATTTGCTCAAAATCCAAAAAAACCCAAAATTCCTCGAGTTTCCAAAAATCCGAAACTGGGGTTGGGATTTTTGGATTTTTGGATTTTGGAAACTCGAGGAATTTTGGGTTTTTTTGGATTTTGAGCAAATTCCTCGAGTTTCCAAAAATCCGAAACTGGGGTTGGGATTTTTGGATTTTTGGATTTTTGGAAACTCGAGGAATTTTGGGTTTTTTTGGATTTTGAGCAAATTCCCCGAGTTTCCAAAAATCCGAAACTTGGGTTGGGGTTTTTGGATTTTTGGATTTTGGAAACTCGAGGAATTTTGGGTTTTTTTGGATTTTGAGCAAATTCCTCGAGTTTCCAAAAATCCGAAACTGGGGTTGGGATTTTTGGATTTTTGGAATTTTGGAAACTCGAGGAATTTTGGGTTTTTTTGGATTTTGAGCAAATTCCTCGAGTTTCCAAAAATCCGAAACTTGGGTTGGGATTTTTGGATTTTTGGATTTTTGGAAACTCAGGTTTTGGTGAGATTCTTTTAGGGGTTCTACACTCATGAGAAATATGAAATATATTAAAAACACAGAGAGCTATGCTAGCAACAGCTACTGGAGTTGCTTACGGAAGTGCGAGGAAAAGTGCTTGATGCTGCGCTTCTGCCCACGTTAATGAGAACCCTATGATAGTTGATAGGAATCCTAATAAACTGAAGAGGACCCCTACTACAATTAATAGGAACCAATGGGACTCCTATAACGAATGTGAACCCTTAACTAATAGGAATAGGAATCCTATTTAAAATGATATGAGCCTAAACCAATAGGAATCCATTTCAAATGAATCAGATCCCTATTAAAATTAATACGAATCCACATATCATGAGTAAGAGCTCTGAAATTGATATGAGTCTTATTGCAGTAGTAGGAGCTTTATCAAAATAATTAGGAACCATATGAAACTTCACTGGAATCCTATGAAAATAAGTAGGAATCTTTCGGGCTCCTACGAAATTTATCGGGGAAGCTAGTAGAAAGCCCATTAAATTGAATAGGAACCCTTAACAAATCAAAAGAACGCAGTGAAGATTAATAGGAATTAATAGGACTCCTATGAAAAATAAGATTCGTTTAACAAGAATTAGTAGGAATCCTACTAAATGAATATGAGCCTAAACCAATAGGAATTCCTTTCAAACGAATGAGACCTCTATCCGGTGCGGATTCTTAGTTCCTGGGTTACCTCTTATTGAAATCCTTTTTGAAATATATTGAATTTCAATAAGGGCGGTACTAGGAACTAAGAATCCAAACCTATGTGTTTCTATTTTAAGACCCTTATTGAAATATTGAATTTGAATAAGGGCTGTACTAGGAACTAAGAACTCAGACCAAGAGTCCCTGGCAGTCTTAGTTCTTAGTTCTTGGTTCCGCCCTTATTGAAATTCAATATTTCAATAAGGGTTTCCATAATGACCACCCGTATTGAAGTTCAATACTTCAAGAAGGGTTTCAATAATGCCAACCCTTATTGAAATTCAATATTTCAATAAGGGTTTCAATAATGACCACCCTTGTTGATTCAATATTTCAATAAGGGTTTCAATAATGCCAACCCTTCTGGACATTCAATATTTCAATAAGGGTTTTAAAATAGAAACACATAGGTTTAACAGACAACAAAAGAAAAACATACAACAACAGAGAAAAACATCAAAGGCATTAAACAAAGCAAAAAAGTATAGATCTTTGGGGAGGGGGGGTACCATATATCTCTATTGTTTGTTAACGTGTCTGGCTACTGTGTGCATCTATGCTGTCCGTCGCGCCCTCAGCCCTTTTTTTGCTTCCGGGGGTCTGTCGAGGGGGGGGGGTGAGCATATATATGTATATAACTTTTCTAAGTATCTTCTGGAGAACTTTCCCCCCAGTTCCGATTTTGTACGTGGCACTGAGATTACATCAGGCTGGAAGACCTGCCCAAACCCCGCTTCCTGGAAGCCTAAAGATACAATGGCTCAGGGTTAGGGTTTAGGGTTTGGGGTTTTGGGGTTTAGGGTTTAGGGTTTAGGGTTGCGGGTTTAGGGTTTGAGGAAACCCGGGCAGGTGCGCGACGGATCTGGCTTCACCATCAAGCTGGGCGACAAGTGCGCACCCCCAGATACTCCTTCGAACAGTCTTCGTCTGAATGCAACCCACCCCTAAACCCTAAACCCTAAATCCTAAACCCTAATAACCCTAAACCCCAATAACCCTAAACCCTAAACCCTAAACCCTAAACCCCAATAACGCTAAGCCCTAAAACCCTAAACCCTAAACCCTAAACCCTAAACCCTAAACCCTACCCGTAAACCCTAAACCCCGGACCACGGCCTTCCTCGAGAGAACAGGATGCATAGAAGCCCCGAAGATGTACGTCCGCCACTCACCAAGTAGGATTCCACGGAAGGGTTTAGGGTTTAGGGTTTAGGGTTTAGGGTTTAGGGTTTAGGGTTTAGGGTTTAGGGTTTAGGGTTTAGGGTTTAGGGTTTAGGGTTTACCTCGCATAGAACTTTTCCGCAGTTGTACTAGGGTTTAAGGTTCAGGCTTTGGGGTTTATCTATTTTTTCAGGGTTGAAACAGTTCAAGGCTTAGGTTGACTGCAGGAATTGAAGGCATCCTGACCGCTGGGGCCATTTATATCTCAAATATGGGGGGGGGGGGGGGGGGCTGCGGGTCATTTTCCCTGCTCATGGTTCTGGAGCGCGGCTATTTTTTCTACGATGCCGTGAACCAGATGTAGCGATGCACATGCAAGTAGAGAAGGCTTTTTTTCTCAAACTCCCCACGTAGCCCGAGCCGCAAATGTCAAGTTCTTTAAGCCCTACACCCTAAACCCTAAACCCAAATCCTAAAGCAAAGCACATACTCCAAAAGGGTGTATGCAAGCATGGATCTGGAATCTGCTACCCAACGAAGCTAGCGGCCCTTGACTCCCTGAAACGGTTCGCCCGAGCGAAGGTCCATCACCTATGCTGACACCTTCAAGTTCTTTATGACCACGACATTGCCCGCTGCCTAGAAGTTCTTAGGGTTTAGGGTTTAGGGTTTAGGGTTGAGGGTTGAGGGTTGAGGGTGGCTGTAAGAGGCTGGCTCACCTTCACAGAGTGCACTGTTACCAGCACAAAGCCCCCGCGCTCAGCAAATGAGCTGCAGATCTGCATCGGTTTAGGGTTTAGGGTTTAGGGTTTAGGGTAAAAACCCAATCCGCAAACATCGCTTCGAATCAGACGTCCATGGCTCAGAAGACACGACAAGGCATGAATCTGAAAAGACACAAGGCGAAGCCAGTGTGATGGTGGGGGGGTTCCAATCCCTTTGAAGTTTAGGGTTTAGGGTTTAGATGGGTTTAGGGCTGAGGGTTTAGGGTTTAGGGTGTAGGGTTTAGGGTAGAGCTAGAGCCCGTTTGCTCAGCCTTCTGCAGAAGCCAGAAATTCCCCAAATCCTCCTGACACCTCCCGAAGCTCTTCTGGGCTAGTTCCAAATCGGAGTGGCTGAGGGGTTCAGGGTTGAGGGTTGAGGGCTTAGGGTTTAGGGTTTAGGGTTTAGGGTTTAGGGTTTAGGGCCCGGGTCAATTCGGGACGGGTCTCCGTTCAAGATGCCTGAAAAAAAGGGGGGCACCCTCAATTCGAACAATTTGAAGGCGCGCAGTCCACACGACCCGAGGCCCAACCCACACTACTCGCCGGAGACTTCCGTGAAGGATCGACTGGCCACGGCGGTTTAGGGTTTAGGGTTTAGGGTTTAGGGTATGAAAGGTTCAGCACACAAGCTAGGTAGGCCCTTAAGGGACATGGTCCATCGTCCTGTATTGGGTTCAAGAGGGTCATATGTAGGAGTTTTTTCAGAGGCTTTTCAGGGCCATCCGAGCAAGGACTGTTCTATGTTAGCGTCTCTGTCTCTCTCTCTCTCTCGCTCTCTCTCTCTCTCTCTCTCTCTCTCTCTCTCTCTCTCTCTCTCTCTAGATAACTTGTTTAAAGAAGGCTCTCAACAGCGAGCCTACGGCTCTTGGGATTCTGGGATTTGGTGAGCCTACAGCGTCGGGTGTAGGTTTAGACCCCCATGCGGAGTGCCCTGGAGGATCCTCCCAAGAACACCTGCAAGTAGGTTTAGGGTTTAGGGTTTAGGGTTTAGGGTTTAGGGGTGCCCTTGGTAGGACCTCAAAAATCGGGCAGGTAGGGATTGTGTGGTGGAGGGGAGGTGGCTTGAGATGGATGTGCTACTCCCCTCCCCCTAAACCCTAAACCTTAACCTTCAACCCTAAGCCCAACACCCTAGCAATGTTATAGCGTCACAAATTGAAACCTCTACATTGTATATGGGGTGGTATTGGTACCCTTCTTAGTCTGGGGCTTTTTTGAGCCAGCCTGGCTGAAGAAACCCTAAACCCTAAACCCTAAACCCTAAACCCTAAACCCTGGGGCCTGTGGAGCAGCCACTGCGCTCTCTCCCTTTGGGTGCCTACGCGCGGTTTAGGGTTTAGAGTTTGGGTTTGGGGTAAAGAAAGGGGTAGAAGGAGGGATTCGTAGAAGGGAACCTTAATCTTATTCCCCTATATAACCCCTATATATACCTTATGGAGTCCCTAATTACCTAAGGAGCCCCCAAATACCCCCCCAAAGAACCCCTGAGTCCCTTTATCACGGTTCCTCCTTCAGTCCCTTGAGTTTAGGGTTTAGGACCGTTTAGGGAGTTTAGGGAGTTTAGGGAGTTTAGGGAGTTTAGGGTTTAGGGTTTAGGACCGTTTAGGGTTTAGGGTTTAGGGTTTAGGGTGTAGTGGTTTGAGTTGGAGCGCAGGTCACGCTCCTCAATTTCGCCATCACGCCCACTGGCCTGGAGGACGTTGCAGCAAGTCGGTCCCAAAAAGTCCCACCACCCACGTGACCCACGTCTGTAAAAAATCCGAAACCCTGCAGCCACTTAGGGTTTCGAGTTTCCAGGTCCTCTAGCAGGGTAGTTTCATGGGCCCCTAATGTGTGCCCTAAACCCTAAAGCCTGAAACGGCACAGGACCAGATGCTGGGCATCGTTGTTGCCAAAGAGCGGCCCGATCTCGAAGAGCAGAAGAGCCAGCTCGCGGATGCCCTGGCGGAGGTTTAGGGTTTAGGGTTTAGGGTTTAGGGTTTAGGGTTTAGGGTTTAGAGTTTCACTTTTGTTTTTTGTTTTGCTGTAAGTGCTGCTTGCAGCTCAGTGCTTGAGGTGGTTTGAAGACGAGGTCCTCCAGATTCAGGGGCTGTTGGGGCTTCAGGCTTGCGCAGGGGCTTCAGGCTCAGAGTTTCAGGGTTGTGGCATGTAGAGTTGCCATGTTGCAGGGTGGAGGCTTGGGCCGAAAAGGGGCTTCTTGTGACGTAAGGCTTCTTCGTAGACTTGGAGCTTCAGGAGCTTTTGACCTTATGGTGTCTAGGCACTCATAGCTGCTTGCGACGGATGCTCGCAAGTTCTCCAGGTTGAAGGAACTAGCAAAGCTCGACGGCACTCTCGATGACCTCAGCCGCATTTGAGCGCAAGGAAAGGCTCCTGCCCCAAACCCCCAAACCCAAACCATAGGCCCTGTAAACCACAAGCCGAAAATGCCTTTCAGGAAACCCGAAACCCTAAACCCAAACCCTAAACCCTATATTCAAGCCCTTCCCCTTGTGTGAACCCAAAGGTGTGGGTCGGATTCAGGGCCCCAGCCTTCGGGAAGAACCCTAAACCCGAAGCCCTAAACCCTAAGCCCTAAACCCTAAAGGGTCCAGGTGCTTGGGCCCCAAAGTGGCTTCATAGGCGGCTTAAATTCCTCAACCCCAAGCTCTGAGCCCCTAAACCCGAACACCCTGAGCCATGGGGTTTAGGGTTTAGGGTTTAGGGTTTAGGGTGAATACCCTGAACCCTCAACCCTAAGCCCCTAAGCCCTAACCCTGCTGAAGTTAAGTTAGGGCGCTTTGAGGTCAAGGACAACGCGAAGATGAACAAGCAGCTGAAAGAAATCGAGGTGGGCAGCCGGGTTCAGGATGTAGGGTTCAGGGGTTTGGGGTTTCGTGTTCAGGAAAGGGTTCTTGGAGGATCCAAGTGTTCTACATCCCCATACCCCATGTTTGGTCAGGCGGCGGATCTATTGCAAAGATCGTCCCTGGTAGGCCCTATATAATCCAAATATATGCAGGTGTGCTTTTTTACATGTACAGATGGGCAATGTATGTATGCATGCATGCATGCATGTATGTATATGCACATATATTTGTCTGTTTATGCATATTTGTTTATGTTAGCCACACCCATTCTTATGCACTATAAGTTTGGAGTTCAAGACTCAATGAGTTCTCGCAGCGCAAGGATGAGATCCTCCATCTGCTGTCGGCCAGCGAGGGCGACGTGCTGGACGACGACACTTTGGCACGGGACTGAAATTCTGCAAGTGTCCCACAGGTTCCGTTTCCAGTAGGCCGAAAGCATGGGTTTGGGGCTTATAGGGTTTATAGGTACCCAGAAACCGCAGTGGGTGTGTGTGTGTGTGATGAAGGCAAACCACGCGAGCTGTAGTCCAAGCGAAATTAGGATTCTACATACTTGCAGCTGCACTAGCAGACGCGTTGGCCGGGCGGCATGTAGCCAGATCAGCGTGATGAAGTGAGGACCACCCCCGGCTACCCCAACCCACAATCGCATCAACAACCAAACTACAAGATCTGCAGACAGCGTACAACAGCACTACAAACAGGCTTAAGCGGAAGCCTTCCAGAGGCTTGAGGCTTGAGGCGGGAAGGCGACTGCATCGCGACCTTTTCGAGTTCAGGGCTAAGATGTTTACCCTAAAAAAACCTAAACCCTAAACCCTTTAGGCTTTCTGTAAGGTGCAATGCCCCGTCAGTACCATAAAACTACCCAAATGCCCATTCTATTTAGTGGGCCCCTGTATATTTGGCTTCATTGCACATAGAGTCTGCTTTCACCCTTGCAAACCCTAAGCACCCTTCACCCCAAACCCTAAACCCTAGCCCTAAACCCTAAACCCTAAACCCTAAACCCTAAACCCTAAACCCTAAACCCTGTTGGCCTTTGAAACCCCTCGCCAGAGAGGTCGACAAGGTCACGGCGTCGAAGCAGGTCTCCCTGGAGATCGGGGAGAAGCAAGAGGCCAGGGGTTCAGGGTTTAGGGTTTGGGGTTTGGGGTTTGGGGTTTTAGGGTTTAGGGTTTAGGGTTTAGGGTTTAGGGTTTAGGGTTAGGAGTCGGGATAGTTGCGAATAATATTTTCTAATGGTCCCTTTTTAAGTATGTTGTAATCACCACCAAGACCGTATTCTAATCATTAACGCCCCTATATTGTGGTAGTTTAGGGCTTGAGGTAGGGTACGAGTTTGGCCAGAAGCCTCTGGTGTCGTTGGTGGAAGTTGGCCATATGGTTTGAGCTTAGAGGCTTCCCTCAAGGTCCAGCTAGGAGGGTTGCAGAATTGCCGAACAATCAGGCATGTTGTGTACAGACCATGCCCCAACCCCCCTCCCATCTATACCCATTGCTCGATGCCCTATACCCGACAGCTAGGGTTTAGGATTTAGGGTTTAGGGTCTAGGGTTTAGGGTCTCGGGTTTAGGGTCTAGGGTTTAGGGTCTAGGGTCTAGGGTCGAGGGTCTAGGGTTTAGGGTTTAGGGTTTAGGGTTTTGGGTTTAGGGTACCGCACAGACTGCCGGAGCCACATAGCACAGCTGTCCGCGAGGTCGCAAAGGTGACGGAAGTTGACATCGACAATGCCCGTGAGCCCACAGCCAAGCTTAATCTTAGGATTTAGGGTTTAGGGTTTAGGGTTTAGGGTTTAGGGTTTAGGGTTTAGGGTTTAGGGCTACATAACCCAGCGATTCTTGTGGCTACAGGGTGAACATGGGTTCAAGCTGAACTTCTAGGATCACTCGGGCTTCTTGAAGGGTTTAGGGTTTCCCCTTTGTGGTTTGTTGGGTTTAGGATTTGGGAATTTATGAAAATAAGGGACCCCAAATAAAGAACCCAAATAGTAGGATCCCCTTACAATAAGGTACCCCTAGTTGCGGAAAACCCCCCATGTAGGGCTTAAGTTTAGGCCTGCAGGGTCCCCGGGGTGTGGGTTTTCCTCAGGCCTGAATTCAAAGGCTCATGTGCATCAGGCTCGCAGCTGCATGGTCAGTTCATGTAGCCTCCATTGTTTAGCATAAAATTTAGATCATGGCCGTGCTTCGAGTTGTACCCGCTGCGGTACCGCTCCGCGCGCATGGGCCAGAGATGGTGTTTTCAGCTCACCGTGCCAGAACGGCTTTCCGAGTGTCAGGCAGAGCATTTGCTTCGGCGGCTTCGGCGTCGCTCGTACTCGCCTTAGCTCCCCAGGCGCGCCGGCTGCACACCGTTCGGTCCCGAAATTCAGCACGAGCCGCCCTTCATGCAGTTCAGACGGGCGACGTTTGCATTCAGGAGTTCTTGTCCGGCAACCTTGGCAAGGTGAAAACAAAGAAGCCGGCGCTGGATGAAGATGCTCAGATTCTGGCTGTGGAGTGCCGCCTCAATGACGGCAGCCAGGAGATCACGTGCACAACTGCAACAAACAAGAAGTACACCTTTGAGGTTAAATGTGCAACAGGGGCTTCCCAAGACGAGCCCGTGGCGCGGGTAAAAGCAACACAGGGAAAGCAGATCAGCCATCTCACTTTCAAGGATTGGAAGCTGGATAGCGCCAAGGTCTGTGAGTTGGACATCAGCTTGCGAGAAGCTGCATCACTGGTGCGCGACATCCGTGAGGAAGCCGAAGAGGAGATTGCAAAGCTTAAGGAGCCGGATGGAGAGAAGGGAGATGATCCTCGGGGACGAAAATGAACCCTAAAATTGGGGTCATATACTCTACACTACTCTAATTCCTATTACTGGCTGGTTCCTAGTAGGGAATGAGGGAATGAGGTACCTGTATAAGCCCTTAAAGGGTATACATAGGGCCTCATTCCCTCGTTCCCTGCTAAGAACCAGGGGGATTAGGGTACATCAACCATCAACCCTTTTAGGGTTCAGGGTTTAGGGTTTAGGGTTTAGGGTTTAGGGTTCAGTTCGTCCCCAAGGATGATGGCGAAGACCAGGAGACCTCCCGGGAAAGCGAGCTTCGAGACTTGCAGACGCGCATGGCGAAAGCAGAGGCATGCCTTACTGAGGGCTTGCAGGACCCCCCTGGGTCTTAGGGTTTGGGTTTAGGGTTTAGGGTTTAGGGTTTAGCGGTTAGGGGTTAGGGGTTAGGGGTTAGGGGTTAGGGGTTAATTAGGGTTTAGGGAGGGTTTAGGGTTTAGGGTTTAGGGTTCTGGGTCAGGAATGAGGGAATGAGGGCCCTATGTATACCCTTTTAGGGCTTAGTAGGTACCTCATTCCCTCTTTCCCTACTAAAAGCCAGCCAGGAGCGCAAGGCGGAAGCCCGGCTCCTTTTGCTCGCCTTCCTGGGAAGTGAGAATCTCCGGTTTCTGAGTCGTAGATAGTTTTTAGGGTTTAGGGTTTAGGGTTTAGGGTGTTTTTTAAGGAATCCGGGAGTCTAACCCAAAGCTCCTATGTAGTTTCTTTTTGGGTTTGGTATAATGTGAGAGTCGCTTTTTTAATTGGGGTGGTAATAGTAATATTCGCCGGGCCAGAGGGCCCCAGCCGAAGACTACTTTCCAACTACGGGAGGTTTTCGGGCCGATGTATGTAAACAAGTCTATATAGAGGGTCCGGCGAAAAGAATAATGGGGTGGTATTTGTAAATTTTTTCCGGCCAGGAATTGAAAATTTTACTGAAAATGGCTTAAGAGTTCCATTGCAGAGAAGACTTTTCAGCTGAGCTGGCTTGAAAGAGCTCCAAGGCTCAGTCTTTAGAGAAGCAGATCTCGTTTGAGATTCAAGACAAAGCAAAGCAGACCCTGACAGCTGACCCCCCCCCCGACCCGCAGACCCCAGACCCCCAGAATCCTCACAATTGACACCCCGCATTTTTTCCACCCCTCCAAACCCCGGGGACCAAAACAAAATTGGGGGGGGGGGGGGGGGGGTTATTAAAGGGACTCTAACATTAGGGATCTTAGTATACTACCCCAAAAGGCTAAACCCTAAACCCTGAACCCTGAACCCTAAACCCTAAACCCTAAACCCTAAACCCCAAACCCTAAACCCATTGCTCTTGCTGCTAGGAACCTTGGGGACCAAATGAACCCCAAAATTGGGGTCATATACCCTATACTACTCTACATTTCCTATTAAGGCATATGAACCATGGGCAGGGTTCAGTTCGTCCCCCAGGAACGTCCTCTTCTTGGGCCCACCGGGCACCGCCAAGAGTCTCCTTGCCCGACGGATGGCACGCGTCTGCGCTGGCAAGTACTTTGAGCGCCTCCTCACACGCTTCTCCGCAACTGGGCGAATTGATCTAGTGCGGTTTAGGGTTTAGGGTTTAGGGTTCAGCACTCCGGGTCGAGCAGTTTTATGAAAGTTTTATGGTTGAGTTTTATTTACGGCTCTGAGAAAACACCCACCCACCCAGAGAATCCCATAACATTGAGAAGGCAAAAAACGGCCAAAAACTGAAAATTAAGCGCCAGAAACTGAAAATAACACGGCCAAAACCTGAAAATCAAGCGGCCAAAAACTGAAAAGAAAAGGGCCAAAAACCGAATATAAAGCGGCCAAGAACTGAAAATAAAGCGGCCAAAAACTGAAAAGAAAGCGGCCATAAAACTGAAAAGAAAGCGGCCACAACTGAAAACAAAGCGGCCAAAACTGAAAAAAAACGGCCAACAACTGAGAATACCACGGCCAACAATATTTTCGTATATGGTAGAGAGGGCTTAGGGTTTATAGGGATTAGGGTTCATTCGGGTTTAGGGCAGATGTTTGGGCGCTTCGGGCTTGGAGTTTGCCATGGCCTTTCTTGCGGCCGCATCGCCAGGCCTCAGTAGGTAGCCAAACGTCAGCGGTGCACTCTAAACCAATACTGCAGTAGCCTAAACCCCAAACCCTAAACCCCAAACCCTAACTAAACCCTAAACCCCTAGACCCCGAACCCTGCACCCTAACCCTAAACCTCATACACTTCCAGCTGGTGACACCAAGGTCCCAGAGGAGGTCTTCGGGCCCCTGTCACTCAAGTCGTTGGAGAGACTTGGTAGCTATGTGTTAGCCTTCTTGCCTTTTTTGGGGGGTTCTGGTGTTTCCGGCAAAAAACAGCCCACCCCCATTTAGGCTTTACCCAAAGGCTCCTATGTAGTACCTTTTTGGGGTAGTATACTAAGATCCCCTATACCAAACCGAAAAAGGAACTACATGCGAGCCTTTGGGTAGGATTCAGGGCCAGAATGCGGTTCTTGCCCGAACCAAGGAAAGACAAGCTCAAGCGCAACGTGGAAGGCTTTCTGCCCGATTCCGATGTGGCCTTCCTGGACGAGGCAAGTGGAGCTCAAAGGTCGTTTTGAACTCAAACGGGTATCTCCCAACATAGGCTCTTATGGGGGTTTAAGGCTCAGGGTTTAGGGTTTAGGGTTTAGGGTTTAGGGTTTAGGGTTTAGGGTTTAGGGTTTAGGGGTACCTTATTTCGGTCCTTATTGTGAGAGAATCCTACTACTTGGGGTCGATTATAGGGGTCCCTGTTTTTCGCAAGCTCCCACAGGGGTATTTCCAACATAGGGGTAGCCCTTTTTATACCCTAAATCGAAGGGAACCCCAAAAAGGGCACTTCTATTTTCGGAAACCCCCAAATGGGGGGGGGGGGGAGTTTAGGGTTTTGGGTTTTGGGTTTAGGGTTCTAACCAACAAAAAGTTGCGGGTTTCGAAAATAGGGGGTTTTGGGTTTAGGGTTTAGGGTTCAGGGTTTAGGGTTTAGGGTTTAGGGTGGGCCCCCAGTTTAGATCCCAAAAAGTAGTAGGCCTCCCTGAGAATAAGTACCCCCCGACGCCCCTCCGAAGTCCTTATCCGAGCACCGTAAGGGGTTTAGGGTTTAGGGTTTAGGGTCCCTCCAGGTGTTCAAGGCAAATTCTGCGATCTTGAACTGCTTGCTCACTTTGCTGAACGAGCGCGTTTTCGACAACGGAGACACCCGAATACAGGTGCCGCTCAAGTGTGCCTCGGCTCGTTCGTGTCCCTTTTTTCTCATTGTACATGCTAGGGTTCCTGAATCTTCAAGCTGCTTTGAATAATGTCCTACGCGCTACCTGTCCGGGATTTTGAGTGTCTAGACCCAAGAGAAGGGAAGTTTTCTTCGCCCCACAATAAGCACAGGTTCCATGATCACCCTCTTTTTTAAGATCCCTTGGAGGGAACCTCTAGCTCCTACATCCCTTTATAGACCCAAGGTGCACCCCAAAAAAAGCCGTCGAGGTGTTGTGGCGGCCTCCAACGAGCTTTTCGAAGGAGACGAGCTCGAAGCACTCCACGATCGCTTCCTACTGAGGCACCTGGTCTCGCCCATGCCACCTCGCCTGCGATTGGAACATGTTTGGTTCGGTGAGAAGCCATCTATTTGCGGGCCGGGGGGGGGGTTCCAAAATTGGGGTGCCTTGTTTACTTGTTTATAAGGGAGGCCTACTGTTTTCGAACAATTTGGGGTCTGTATTGGGGGGGTCGCTTCTTTTCGTAACCCCCCCCCCAACTTGTTGTTGGTCATAGGGTCATGGGATATGCGCATGTATGGCTTTGTCGTTTCAAGCGCTTCGTGTTTTGGTTATCTTGCGACTTCGGGAGCGGAAGCATCATAAGGCAGCTCATCCACCACATAAGCTTACAGGGTCATAGCC